AAAACAGGACAGAACTGAAGGGAGAAATAGGAAGTTCTATAATGCTAACCAGAGACTTCAATACCCACTGTCAATAATAGAGAGAACAACTAAGATCAGATGGAAATAGACCGAAATAACACAACGCATCAGCTCTACCTAACAGACATGGACAGAACACTCCACCCAACAACAACAGAATCCACATTCTTCTCAGGTTCACATGAAACAGTCTTCAGGACGGACCACGTGAGGCCACAAAACAAATCTTAATGGATATTAAAAGATATACCAAGTATCTTCTCCAACCACAATGGATTGAAGTTAGAAATCAATACAACTGAAACATTCACAACTATGTGCAAATTCAAGAACAGAATTTACAACAACCAATAGTTCAAAGAGAAATTACAAGAAAAGTTAGAAAACAATTAAGACATACATGAACACACAGCATTTCCCACAGTGCTCAGAGGGAAGTTTATAAGTTTTAAATGCCTACGTTAAAAAGAAGAAAAACATTAAATTAATAACCTAACTTTAAGCCATAAGGAAATGTAAAACAAGAGCAAACTAAACCCAGGGCTGACAAAAAAGAGAAATAAGAGAGACTGAAATGAAGATGAATAAAATAGAGAATATTATTAAAACAGGGAAAAATCAATACAACCAAACAGTTGGTTCTTTGAAGACATTAGCAAAACAGACAAACTATTAGCTGGAGTAACACTTCCAAAAAGATATAAGACAAAATGCCTATAATTGGAAATAAATGTGGAGACATTACTATTGACTTTACATCATATAAAGAATACTAAGAACACTATAAATTTTCTATAGTCCAACAAATTAGATAACTTAGAAGAAATGGACAAATACCCTGAAACACCCAAATCACCTAAACTGACCTACAAAAATAAATAGAAAATCTCGAGAGACTTTTAACGAGAGCCTGAATCAGTAATGACACAACTCCCAACAAAAAGTAGTCCTAGATCAGATGGCTTCACTGATGAATTCTATCAAACACTTAAAAAAGAATTAACACCAATCCTCCTCAAACTCTTCTAAAAGATTGAAGAGGAAGAAAACTCTTCCCAATTGATTGTATGAGGCCACAATCACTCTGATACTAAAGCCCAACAAAGACCTCACAGGAAAAAAAAAATTATAGACCAGTATCCCTCAATAATATGGAAGAAAAAAACCTCAACAACCAGCAAATCAAATCGAACAGCATGTAAGAAAAGTATTCAACATAACCAAGTGGGATATATTCCAGGAATGACAATGTGGTTCAACATAAGAAAGCCAATAAACATAATAAATCACATTAATAAAACTATATGATCACTTTAAACAATGCAAGAAAAAGCATTTGACAAAATCCAACCCCTTTTTATAATAGAAACTCTCAGAAAACTAGAAATAGAAGGGAAATTCCTAAACATGATAATGGATTTTTTTTTAACCCACAGCTAACATCATACTGAATGGTAAAGATGGAAAGCTATCCCTATAAGATTAGAAACAAGAAATGATGCCCAATTGCTGCTGTTGAATAGTGTACTGGGAATCACAGACAGCTATTAGAAGGGAAAGAAATAAAAGGCATGCACATTGGAAAGAGGTAAAAGTATCTCTCTGCAGATTACATCATCTTATATGCATAAAATCCCAAAGAATCCACAAGAGAGCTACTGGAGCTAGAAAATAAATTCAACCTTGAAGGGCACAAGATCAATACACAGAAATCAGACGTTTCTAAACACCAATAATAAACAACCTAAAATATAAATTAAGAAAGTGATTCCACTTGTAATAGCATCTAGAAAATTAAGTATTGGGGATAAATTTAGTCAAGGAAGCAAAAGACATGCTGAAAACTACAAAACACTGTTAAAAGAAAGAAACCCTAAACAAATGGAAAGCATCCGTCCTGTGTGTTTATGAAGACTTCATCCTTCACAACGCTGAATTTCACAACAACTTCATGGACATGACAACAAAAGCACAGGTAGCAAAATAAAAAATAGGTAATAACTCTACATACTACATCGTAATTAAAAACTTTTGCACATGAAAGAATAAAATCAAGAAAGTGAAAGACAACCTACAGAATGAAATAAGATCTTTATAAATCATGTATCTGTTAAGGAATTAATATCCACATGATATAAAGAACTCGACAATTCAACAACAAAAGCCAAACAACTCAGTTAAAAAGTGAGCAAAGGAATTCAATGAACAGCTCCCCAAGAAAGTCATACAAACAGCCAGTAAGTACGTGGAAAGATGTTCACCATCACCAGTCATCAGGGAAATGCAGATCCAAACCACAATGGGGTACCCCCACTTCACACCTGTTAGGATAACTATAATAAAAAGAAGGGGGTAAAAGTGTCAGTTGGGATGTGGAGAAGCTGGAACCCTGCCGTTTTGCTGGTGGATGGAAACTGGTGCAGCTGCTGTAGAAAATGGCGTGGCAGCTAGTTTTTAAATTTTTTGTAGAGACAGGGTCCTGCTATGTTGCCCAGGCTGCTCTCAAACTCCTGGCATCAAGCAACCCTCATGCCTCCGCCTCCCAAGGTACTGCGATTACAGGAGTGAGCCATCATGCCTGGTCCAGGTTAAGTACTTTCTTAGGAGATGGACTAGAAATGGATCATCAGAAATTATGTTTTTACTCACACATGAAGAATTCCAATAGCCAAAAATGTTTAGAACTCAATCAGAACTTGAGAACTTCTTTCAGCAGGTGCTACATGATTCAATGACTAGGATTCTGCTTCAATCAAGTTATTTTACAGTTATCCAAGTATTTCTTTTGTTTTTCTACTAAGTTTTAAGCAGGGAGATTATCCACATATGGCCTACACCACCAAGCAGCACACCTACCACTGAGAAGGCTCCTGACCATTCTCTCATCTGAAACGACCTGACCAAGATTCCCCAACAATTTGTGAGACTCAACCATATTCAAACTAAATACATTGGTCTCAATAGTCATTTAATTTATCACATAGTTGCTGTACTATAGCAGAACAAGATCTTAGCCCAAAATTAAGTCACCACAGATTGACCTATTTATAAAGCTTATCAACAATCACAGTTTGACAAAAATCAAAACTAATAGATGCTACCTCTCTTCTGTTTTTCCTTTTGTGAGATAGGTTCTCACTCTGTCACCGCAGCCTCCACCTCCTAGGCCTAAGTTATCCTCCTGCCTAAGCCTCCCAAGTAGCTGGGACTATAGCCATGCTGTGTGTGTGTGTGTGTGTGTGTGTGTGTGTGTGTGTGTAGAGACAGGGTCTCCCTGGCTGTCTTGAACTCCTGGGCTCAAGCAATCCCCCTACCTTATCCTACCAAACTGCTAGAATTACAGGTATGAGCCACCATGCCTGGCCTGTTATCTCTTTCTTATTCCTAATTTGCTACCTCCAACTGGCTGAGGGCTGGAAATCCATTAACTAAATACATTAAAATAGCAAAACGCTGCACTGTCGCCCACACATCCACATCAATGATTACGCACATGTCCAAGTGTCTACAGCCCAGCACTGGGAGGAAAACCCGTGGACTCTAGAACACTCATCCCGGCTGCCTGAGAACATGACTTTTTATTTTATGTCTACGTAACTGTCTCCTCTGGTTAATTACAAATTCTTGAAACTGCCGAATAGGCAACTCCTAGATAAGTGTGCATTTCTGTCCATAATAAAGTACTACACTGTGGAATACAATTACTGTAATAGGAATTCAGATCAATTAATGTGGTCTAGAATGATTAAAAACTAATCCAAGACATGGCCTAAGACTGGCAAGATGGTTCTAATTTGGATTAGGGACAGAAGGGAAAAAAATGTAGAAAGTAAAAGAGACAGATAGGCCGGGCGCGGTGGCTCAAGCCTGTAATCCCAGCACTTTGGGAGGCCGAGACGGGAGGATCACGAGGTCGGGAGATCGAGACCATCCTGGCTAACATGGTGAAACCCCGTCTCTACTAAAAAATACAAAAAACTAGCCGGGCGAGGTGGCGGGCGCCTGTAGTCCCAACTGCTCGGGAGGCTGAGGCAGGAGAATGGCGTAAACCCGGGAGGCGGAGCTTTCAGTGAGCTGAGATCCGGCCACTGCACTCCAGCCTGGGTGGTAGAGCGAGACTCCATCTCAAAAAAAAAAAAAAAAAAAAAAAGAAGAGGTAACGTGGGACCAGATGACACAGTACCTTAAGAAATATTAATTTGAAACATAGGGAAACAGAGAATATTATACACAAAAAAGTCACTGTAACAAGATTAATCTGCTGGTTTCAAACATGACAGAGTAGCGAGACACTGTTGATGGGGCAATGAATTAGATGTGGTAATTAGCACCTTGAACTTGAATTGGTGTAAATGAAATAAACGAGAAAGAACAAATCTTTAAGGCACAGGCTTGAGGCTGTACTGACAGGATTTAGGCCTTCTGAACCTCATCTCCCTTAAGGTGACAATCCCGTCTCTCGCTGCTTGAGTCCACTCATAGAATTCTGTGAGGATGGAACGACTGTCTCCATAGCACACACACTCCCTCCAAATAGTAAACCCCATTCTACAGTCGTGAGTCGTACGTTACTAACAAAGGGCATAATGAATAGGTAAGGGTCAGAAATGACGACCAAGTTTCAAGCACAGAAAAAATGGGGTGCTATTAACCAAGAGAAAAAAATAGAAACAATGAAAAACAAATATGCTTGAGCGAGGTAAAGGTCTGTTTGCTTTTTATTTAATGTTTTGACGCTGGGCCAAAGAGCTTTCCACATGAATGATCTAAACACAAGACATTAAATATTTAAATGTAAGAAAATTATGGGAAAGAAACTTACAAACATACGAAACATTATTGGTAGTAATTTTTATACTTTTTCTATAGTTTTCAGATGTCAACAGCAATTGTTTCTTTGGAAATAAACTGATATCATACAAATGCAAAGGACTCCTTATTCCCTTTCATAGGACGTCTAAGGAAAAAGCATAACTTACTCTGTTAGGAGCTGGAAATACCACTCACAATTTTCTGCCATTTCTTTCTCAGTTATCCAAGTACTTGAGGGAAATGGCATGATCTGTGTGCCTTCTACTACCTCCAGTAACTACAGAATTACCTGAAAAATACAGTTAATGGAGCAATGTCCAATCTGAGCAATCTAATATAATAACTGCATCCTTCTCATCAAAATATTCTTTTATGTAAACCTAATACTTAGCATTCATATGACATATTGCACAAAATGCCCAGAGAGAAAATATGCAACAGTAAGAGGCAACAATAAACATGATAAACTGCTACCATATGAGAGAATTCACATCTAATTCTCGATGTCTGGGTAGAACACAATCATTCATAACATTCAGCCCAAGAAATACCGACTATGGTATTTCTAATAACACCAATTTACTCAGGTATTATTAAAAATTCTTTTGAAAAGTTTTAGACTTGAGGGAGTGGAAGGGTTAATACATACTAAATCATACCAAAGAAATAATTTTTTAAAGGTAAAGTCAAACTTAGAATTTAAGAACAAAAGAACCATTTCAGTACTTACTAGTCCCAGGGAGACAAATAAACTGGCCCACTGATAAGGGAGAGCTGCTTCCTCAGGCTCTTTGTGAGTTGTTTCTGAAGAGTGTGAGCCACGGGAAATCCAGGAGCTGTTAGATTCTGGTTGAAACTTAGAGTTTAAACTGCGGTTTTCATTTGCCTGTTGAAAGAATATCTTGGCTGTATTAATCTTTTAAATTAAAATTGAACATTTTGCAGGCGAAACTGTAGGGAGCGGGCAATGTCTGCTTCACTGAATAACGCAGGCAGTCAACGTAGAAGGAATCTGAGAAATTCCCACCGTCACGTGAGTGTAATCAATGTTTCCCAGAGGCTTCAGCAGGGCGCTGAACCCAGCTCTGAAGAGTTGTCAGGGAACAGGATGTTCACAGGGCTTGATGTCTCATCCCAGATGACTGACTGATAACAAAGGGGAAAGGCCACCTTCACAAAGAGATGTGTAGCCGACTCCACCTTAGCCAAAATTACCTAATACAGCATCACAAATCATGGGACAGACAGACTCAAACGTCTCCTGGTGTGAGGCAATGAGAAGTACACCACGCTGCCCATGTTTAATCTGAATCCACTCATGAGGAAACTGTTTAATGTGTATTCTTGCAAAAAGGTTTAATCCAATCTAGTCAAGGTGGGGGAGCAATCAGATGTATCTAGATTGCGAGTCACTCTGAAAAACAAAGAGCCTAGATTTTACAAAATGTTTCATGTCATGAAAGAATGACTCCAAATTAAAAGAGAATACAGAAATATGACAACCAAAGGCGAGGTTAATCTCTGATTAAACTGTGAATCGAAAACAGTAAAAATAGAGGACATTTGGGAGATAATCACATAAATTTCAATGTGGACGGTACATTAATTTAAATTATTGTATCAAAGTTAGATAACAGAACTGTGATTATGGAGAAAGATGTCCTGATTCACAAGAGATAGATGCTGAAGTGTTGGGGTAAGATGTCATGTTCTCTGCAATTTACTTTCAAGTGATTCAGGGAAGAAAGTATGAAGACAGAAAAAACGCAAAAGTGGCAAACACTAGCAACTGGTGAATCTGCATGAAGAATATGTAAATCTCCATTGTGTTAGCCTTTGAATTTTCTGTAGGTTGAGAGAGAGGTAGGAAGAAGGAAGAAAAGGCAGGCATTCCTCATCAATTCATACCTGGAAAAAAATGGAGTCCAGAGAAAACCAGAGGCTTAAATTTCATGTGAACATCCAGTGAGAACAATAGTGATTTTCTAATGTCAAATTTCGGAAAAGCCACAAAGACTGGAACATTCCTGACTAGGAGCACTTGCAGGTAATGTCCGATCTTTTTCTGGAGGCTCCAGTCCTTCTAGATCTTCATATGTTTAATTCCATTACTCCTGGAATTGCCAGTTGTTCAAAATAAACCTTTAAATGGTCATCATCAAACATTTCATCATCAATATCATCATCTATTGGTAAACCTTAGGAAAAAATGGGACACACTTTCAAGTGTTGACTGAACAATAATTTGTAATTAAAAAGCTGGTAAGACATAAGTGAGTCGATGAACTATATGATTTTGTTTTTATATTTGACATAAGAAAACTTCTTAATTATAACTCATTATGAAAATAGTATTTAACCTCCTTGAGAGGACAGGAAAGAAAGATCCTGGCATGTTATCAAAACTTAGGATGCGGCTGGGCACAGTGGCTCACGCCTGTAATCCCAACACTTTGGGAAGCCGAGGTGGGTGCATCACCTGAGGTCAGGAGTTCAAGACCAGCCTGGACAGCGTGGTGAAACCCTGTCTCTACTAAAAATATAAAAACTAGCCAGGCGTGGTGGCATATGCCTGTAATCCCAGCTACCCAGGAAGCTGAAGAAGGACAATCACTTGAGCCGAGATCACGCCACTGCACTCCAGCCTCAATGACAAAGTGAGACTCTGTCTCAAAAAAAAAAAAAAAAAAAGAATGTGATAAATGTGGCATCATAAATAAATGGGAAGAGAGCAGCAGGCTCTTCAGAAAATGAGAGCCTGTCATAGGAGAAGTAAAAGGAAGAAAGAGAAGAACCAAGGAAGAGAGGGAGGAAGAGAGGGAGGGAGGGAGGGAGAGAGGGAGGGAAGGAGGGCAGGGGTGAGGGAGCGAGACCAAGGGGGAGGGAGTGCGAGAAAGAGGACACTGCAGGGGTTTTCGATGTTGTGACACCCAGCTCTGCAAGGTCAGGATAAAACAAGAACTCTCAATCAGTCATGGTCTTCTAAGCGGCACTGCCTTTTTAGAGGTTAATTTTGCAATTAAGTCTCAACAACACTCATCACCTTGACTTAGCAATTTCACCTCCAAGAATCTAGCATACTAAAACAACCAAAGATCAAATACATTCGGGTCAGTAATTCTTTATCCACAATTACACAATCCAACAAAGTCTGAAAAATCCTTTGGCAGCAAAACCTGTCTTCAATGGATTTGATGCTACTTATAGTTTCTATTTATCCCACTCGACTCATCAGACTGACCTTCAACGTCCTGCATAATTTGGCCCCAGCCTACTTTTCTGGGCTTATTTACCAGTGCAGCCTCCTACAGGTGCTGTAAACCTGCCACACAAAACCCCTGGCTGTCCCCCAAACACAGCCCATGTTCCTCACAACAGTGCCGTTGCTGAGGCCACTGCTGCTTCCTGTCAGCTCCTCGTCCTCCCACATCCAAGGCCTGGCACAGACCCCATCCTCCTTCCGGAAAGCATCAGAGATACCTGCCTCAATCAGAGTTAATTTCTCACCCCCATGATTCCCAGGCACGTTCTGGTACTGCTGGATGTAAGTCACCCAACCTCACATTCAGCTCTGTATCTGCTCTTTGCACCTGGCTGAAGTCTCAGAGAGCAGAGGCGAAATACTTCACGGCTCCCTGAATTTCTAAACACAGGGCTACATACTGAGTGGCACCTCTAGGTGACTACTTTGCACCCTAACGATGATAAACTGAGTGAAACTGTATCAGGTTTAATATACAGAAAAAAATTCTGGAATTCCATCACTTAATAGGAGTGGTCATTTGAGTGCCAGCAGGAAGGAAGAAAAGGGGGAAAAAAACAAAACGTTGTGGCATTATAGCTACTGCAACAGAAAACGAGAATAAAACGGAGTGGCAAGGTGAAGACCAGGGAAATGCGGGTGACTACAGGACCACAAGAATCTTCCAAGCCTGTCGATAACGCAAGTTTCTCATTTTCTAATCAGCTAGTGTGGCCTACGTCACTGTTTGGAGTCTTGTCTTCAAATTGTTTTCCAGCATCAAGCACAACAATCTATAAGAACCCAAATGGTGAGTAAGAGAAGCACACTCACGGCTCTGAAGAGCACAGCACAAGGCTACAATAAAGATCCAAGTATATTCTCAATCTGCAGTGTGCTCAGTGCTTGCAAATCAAACTCAGGTGATGAAGGGATGGCAGTTTTATATGAATTAATCAGTTTCCTTCTTAGCCCCATGCCATCTCCCCCACCTGACTCACCCAAGAAAACACCCTGAAAAGACTTCTCTCAAACTGCTTACACGTGTTAAGCTTCTCGCAACAGTGCCTGCACGTGCTCGGAGAAGCTCGCAATACCGCAATACCGTTAGTGTGTTAATACTCACACAGCTGGACTTCAGCAACACAAGGCTTACTAGAAAGCGAAGACAATAGCAAAGCTGAGCCCCGCAGCCGTTCCCTAAGGAACTCTTCACCCATTACATTGGAGCAATTGATTTCTCTGCTCCTCAACCAGGAACCGTAGAGCCCTAAAGGGCACACAGCCAGTTACTAAAGACTCAGGGCCTGGAATGAAAATGTGATATTTTCCTCCAAGTGCTTATATCTGCTATAAACCAGTTTAATTCTGCTATAAACAAGTAGACTCCTAACTAATATTAATATAAACAAGCACTTTTTGTTTAGAGATAGGGTCTCACTCTGTCACGCAGGCTGGAGTGCGGTGGTGCGATCATGGCTCACTGCAGCCTCAACCACCTCAGCTCAAGCAATCCTCCTGATTCTCCCGCCTCAGCCTCCAAAAGTGCTGGGATTACAAGTGTAAGCCACCATGCCTGGCCATTAACACTTATATATATATATATATATGTGAAAAGATGTACAGAATATACGCTATTTAAAAACATAAAAAATACTATGTCTTTTTTTTTTTTTTTTTTTTTTGGAGGTGGAGTGTCACTCTGTCCCCCAGGTTGGAGTGCAGTGGGGCTATCTTGGCTCACTGCAAGCTCTGCCTCCTGGGTTCATGCCATTCTCCTGCCTCAGCCTCCCGAGTACCTGGGACTACAGGTGCCCACCACCACACCCAGCTAATTTTTTGTATTTTTAGTAGAGACAGGGTTTCAACATCTTAGCCAGGATGGTCTCGATCTCCTGACCTTGTGATTTGCCTGCCTCGGCCTCCCAAACTGCTAGGATTACAGGCGTGAGCCACCGCACCTGGCTGAAATACTGTCTTAATATAACTTACTGTACTATGGATTTGTTAAAAACTAAGCTAAAAGTCATTAAGAAAACAATACAAAGCATAAAAGAACACCTATCAAAATTACAAAAACTCCAAAATGAGTGGACAAAGATCCAAAAAAACCTAATAAAACAATGGAAAAATTACTTCAGCAATAAAATGTAAGCTATGATGACACAATGACAGCTTCTGTCTTAAAAGTAAACATGTTAAAGTAAGAATATTTTTTTAAAAAATTAAAGAAGGCCAAAAAAAACTACAGAGGAAGGGGATTCTCCAATACTCGCACGATCCAGAGGGCTGACGGGCCAGGGAAATCTACCGAGTTTCGGCCCTTCCGGAGGTTGACAAATCTGCAACACAGACAGAGGTTCGAGGGTCACTGGGGGGCACAGAGGCGGAGGGAGGGGGGCTCCCTAGGGTGGGTGTGCAGGTCTCAGAGGGCTCCTCCGGCCCTGGAAGGTGGCCTTGGGCCCCTGGCCTCCCCAGAGTCTATCCACAGGGCACCAAGGCCTGTGTGCTGCTCTCTGCTGAGGGGATTGTCTGTGCCCAGAGTGTCTATAAATGTCCTGCAGGAGGCACTGAGCCCAGGCACGCACATGGGCGCCTTCAGGGGGCTGGACCTCCAGATACTGAAACACAAAGAGGGAGGGAGGAGGTTCAAGGATCAACAGGCAGAGTTTCATGCCCCCGGGCCCTGGGAGGAGCAGGACGTCTGATGACACAGGGTGGGATGGTGACCTGCCCCTCCACCCAGACCCTCCATGCCATCCAGACAGAAGAGCTGCACGTTGAATGTGTGCCGCTTCCTGAAGCATGTCATTGTTATCGCCCAATAAGACGTGATCCTTCCAACATCCCCACCAACCCTGTCTATGCATTTCCATTTAAAAATCATTAATGCTTTGGTAAAACATACATTTCACTTAAAACATTCCAGCATAAAAGATTACAGAAACCACTGTTGTAAAGAGTAAAAATCTGTGTGTATACATACACATTCATATGTATATGCTAATTTCAAATTGGAAAGTACATTTAAAACAGTGGATCCCTGAATCCTGCCCCTCAACTCCTCCTAAGTGAGCATGGCCCTGACTTGTTTTCAAGAGTTTCTTTGTTGGCATCTGACACAGACACAGAACCACTGATGCCCAAGCCAGTGCTCTCTACACACAGAATTCTCCAACCTCATCTTGAGAAATGGGGCCATGAGGCCACCCGAGGCACCAAGGGCTCCACGGAGACTGAGGGGTCCCTGGGACTGGGCACATCCCAGCGGGTCTTGGATCCTCGCCCTTCCCCTTCTTGATGCCAGGCCCTACTGAGTGCCCGCAGGTATGCAATGCTGGGCTGGGTGGGCTGCTTGTGTGGCAAGAAACCTGGGGCTGCCTCCCTCCCTCTCACACCTTTCCCAGGAGGCATGAAACAGAGGGATTCATGATCAACCCCAGTGGCTGCTCATGCTGAACCGGTGATGCTCCCTCCCCGTTGTCTTCTGGGGACATGGAGGTAGGACTGGGTCCCCTCAAATGAGCTTAAGTGGCACTGCAGACAAGAACGTAGTGCATGGCCCTCAGAATCCTGCATGTGGTAGCCTGACCAGCACCTCAGCCCCTCCCTCATTAAAGCAGCCTATGGAGGGCTCAGCCCAGTGGGCTTAGGGGCTGCTATGGAGAGGGTGTCTGTTCCCTGGAGGATGTTCTCAGGGCATCCTTCACTTGCCTTTAGGGATTTCCACCATGAAGTACAAAAGCCAGAACAGGTCGAGTCAGGCTCTTCAGCATTCTCATCCTCCTTGAGCTCACTAGGTTTTCTGAGGGCACAAGAGAGTGAGGGCAGCCACGGGCACACAGGCATTGTCTGCCTTCCCCTGGTCATGCCGCCCCTGCACACTCACATTTCTTCTGCCTGTTCAGGGTTTGTCTCTATTGCTTTTTCTTCAGGTTCCGGGAGAGGACTTGTTGGTATCTGGGAGGAAGAAAACAACTGCGCATGTCCAGAGACCCCAGTGCAGCAAAAGCCCCCGGGCGGGGGAGGGGGGCGGCCAGAGCAGACCCAGATGTCACTGGGAACCCTTCCTGCAGGGTGGGGCCAACTCTTCTGACTTCAGCCGGGCTCCCCGCCTAAACCCTGTGGGGTTGCTCAACAGGATTCAACGCTACAGCCTGGGGACCAGGAATCGAGGCAATGCCAAGGCAGCGGGCAGGAGGGCTGCAGAGGGACTTTATAGACACTGAAGACCAGGACATCGACTGTCACGACGAGACCAGGTCCTTCAGGAGTGTAGGGAAAAGAAAGAGAGATCAGAATGTTACTGTGTCTATGTAGAAAAGGAAGGCAAGAAACCATTTTGACCTGTATTCTGAACAATTGCTTTGCCCTGAGATGCTGTTCATCTGTAGCTTTGCCCCAACCTTGAGCTCACAGAAACATGTGTTGTATGGAATCAAGGTTTAAGGGATTTAGGGCTGTGCAGAATGTGCCTTGCTAACAAAATGTTTACAGGCAGTATGCTTGGTAAAAGTCATTGCCATTCTGTAGTCTCGATAAACCAGGGGCACAATGCGCCACGGAAAGCCGCAGGGACCTCTGCCCAGGAAAGCCCAGTATTGTCCAAGATTTCTCCCCACTGAGATAGCCTGAGATATGGCCTCAAGGGACGGGAAAGACCTTACCCTCCCCAAGCCTGACACCCATGAAGGGTCTGTGCTGAGTAGGGTTAGTAAAAGAGGAAGGCGTCTTGCAGCTGAGATAAGATGAAGGCCTCTGTCTCCTGCCTGTCCCTGGGAACTGAATGTCTCGGTATAAAACCCGATTGTACATTTGTTCTCTTCTGAGATAGGAGAGAAACCGCCCTGTGGCAGGAGGCGAGACGTATTGGCAGCAATGCTGCTCTGTTACTCTTTACGCCACTAAGATGTTTGGGTGGAGAAAAAGCATAAATCTGGCCTACGTGCACATCCACACATAGTACCTTCCCTTGAACTTATTTGTGACACAGATTCCTTTGCTCACAAGTTTTCTTTTTTCTTTTTTCTTTTTTTTTTTTTTTTTGAGACGGAGTCTCGCTCTGTTGCCCAGGCTGGAGTACAGTGGCACGATCTCGGCTCACTGCAAGCTCCGCCTCCTGGGTTCACGCCATTCTCCTGCCTCAGCCTCCCAAGTAGCTGGGATTACAGGCGTCCGCCACCACACCCAGCTGATTTTTTTTGTGTGTGTGTATTTTTAGTAGAGACAGGGTTTCACCATGTTAGCCAGGATGGTCTCGATCTCCTGACCTCGTGATCCACCTGCCTCGGCCTCCCAAAGTACTAGGATTATAGGCGTGAGCCACCGCGCCCAGCCTGCTCACATGTTTTCTTGCTGACCTTCTCCCCATGATCACCCTGTTCTCCTGCCACATTCCCCTTGCTGAGATAGGGAAAATAGTAGTCAATAAATACTGAGGGAACTAAGAGACCGGTGCTGGTGCAGGTCCTCCGTATGCTGAGCGCCGGTCTCCTGGGCCCACTGTTCTTTCTCTGTACTTTGTCTCTGTGTCTTATTTCTTTTCTCAGTCTCTTGTTCCACCTGACGAAAAATACCCACAGGTGTGGAGGGACAGGCCCCCTTCTTCTGGCACCCAATGTGGGGCTCGAACCCACAACGCTGAGATTAAGAGTCTGCTGCTTATGTTGAACTGATGATACTCCCTCCCTGTTGTCTTGTGGGGACATGGAGAGCAGGGCTGGGTCCCCTCAAATGAGCTTGCCTGATACTGCAGGCAAGAACGTGGTGCATGGCCCTCGGAATCCTACATGTGGTAGCCTGACCGGCACCTCAGCCCCTCCCTCATTAAAGCAGCCTATGGAGGGCTCAACCCAGTGGGCTCAGGGGCTGCTATGGAGAGAGTGTCTGTTGCCTGGAGGATGTTCTCAGGGCATCCTTCACTTGCCTTTAGTGATTTCCACCATGAAATACAAAGGCCACAACAGGTCAGGCCACAACAGGTCAGTTCAGGCTCTTTAACATCCTCATTCTCCTTGAGCTCACTAGGTTTTCTGATGGGACAACAAGAGAGTGAGGGCAGCCACAGGCACACAGGCATTGTCTGCCTTCCCCTGGTCAGGCCGCCCCTGCACACTCACATTTCTTCTGCCTGCTCAGGGTTTGTCTCTTTTGCCTTTTCTGGAGGTGCCGGGAGAGGTCTTGTTGGTACCTGGGAGGAAGAAAACAACTGCGCATGTCCAGAGACCCCAGTGCAGCAAAAACCCTGGGGCGGCAGGTGAGGGTGGCCACAGCAGACCCAGACGTCACTGGGAACCCTTCCTGCAGGGTGGGGCCAACTCTTCTGACCTCAGCCGGGCTCCCCGCCTAAACCCTGTGGGGTTCCTCAACAGGATTCAGCACTGCAGCCTGGGGACCAGGAATCGAGGCAATGCCAAGACAGTGGGCAGGAGGGCTGCAAAGGTACTTTATAGACACTGAAGACCAGGACATCGACTGTCATGATGAGACCAGTGAAAGGAACCCAAAATAAGGAAAGGACAAACCGTATCATGCTAAAAACATACGTTTTTTTCCTGGAGGATGTTTCCTCTAACTCCATGTTGCTTGGGAATTAAGTGATTTTGCCCCAAGGAGAGAATCAAGCTGCTAAGGAAAAAGCTCACTGCTGCTCAGGGCATGGCTGACGCTGTCATTTTCTCCTGCCGTCTTAAATCAAACCTCAGTGGGGAACAGACTCTCACTCTAAATTCTCCCTACCAAGGACACTGTATAAGTCACCTATAATACATACAGATTCTCATATCTTATTTTAATTCAAGAAGATAAAGCTAAGAAAGTAACTTTTTCTCTGACAACAGCAGGTGGCCTGACCTTCAAATATTGGGAAGCGTCCTCAGCTGAGCCTTTGTTGCTGTCTTCCAGGGGCTCCTTCCTGGAACCTAGGAGGACAAAGAGCGATGGTCACTGGGTGCGAGGCAGGAGCAGGGAAAAATGGCTTTCTAGTTCCAGGCCACCTCATCAATATGAAATAACCCATATCGAACAGGACACACCACCCAGGGCAGGCTGTGCGTCCCTGCAGCCTCTCAGGGCTCCTGCCTCTTTTTTTTTTTTTTTTTTTTGAGACGGAGTCTCGCTCTGCCGCCAGGCTGGAGTGCAGTGGCCGGATCTCAGCTCACTGCAGCTCCGCCTCCCGGGTTACGCCATTCCCTGCTCAGCCTCCGAGTAGCTGGGACTACAGGCGCTGCACCTCGCCCGGCTAGTTTTTTTTGTATTTTTTAGTAGAGACGGGTTTCACATGTTAGCCAGGATGGTCTCGATCTCCCGACCTCGTGATCCGCCCGTCTCGGCCTCCCAAAGTGCTGGGATTACAGGCTTGAGCCACCGCGCCCGGCCGGCTCCTGCCTCCTAATCGGACCTGAGCTCACTTGCCCTCCCTTCCTGAGTCCTTCCAATGCCATTTCCTCCCTAGAACCCACCTGTGGTGTTTCTGTGTGTATCAGTCATTCTAGAATATTTTATAATTGGTAAAAAGCAGCCTTTGTTCTGAGAGATTTCATTTCAGCCCCAATATTCTATACATTCACCAATCTTTTGTGTTAAAGACAATAAAACGAAGCTTTGAAAATACTCAATTATCCTCTATTTAAAGATAACCCCCACTTAGCAAGTGCTGTCCATCCTTGCACTCAGCCTTCTCAATGCGATGTCTGTGTGTCGGGGTCCCCTGCTGCTCACACGCACACTGGCTGTGACACTGGGACAGCACGTCATGGGGGCAGCAGGTGGAAGCACTGACCATCTCCAACCCAGCTGTGCTGGAGGTTCCAGCAGGGGAGACGGTGGGAGGCCAACACACAAGTTCTATCTGGAGACCATATTTGGCGCTGTGTCTCCATTGTGTTTACTACTCAGCTGAAGCATTTTTTCTTTCTTTCTTTTTTTCTTTTCTTTTCTTTTCTTTTTTTTTTTTTTTTTTTTTTTTTGATAGAGGCTCTCTGTAACCCAAGCTGGAGTGTAGGGGCATGATCACTGCTCACTGGAACCTCTGCCTCCTGGGATCAAGTGATCCTCCCAACTGAGCCTCCCAGGAAGCTGGGACTACAGGTATGCAACCATGCCCAGGTAATATTTTGCATTTTTAGCAGATACACGGTTTCATCATGTTGCCTAGGCTGATCTCCAACTCCTGGACTCAAGTCATCTGCTTGTCTTGGCCTCTCAAACTGCTAGGATTACAGGCGTGAGCCACTGTTCCTGGCCAACTGGAGCATTTTTAAGGCTTGTGATAATCATGTTATCAAATACAATAGAGCATGTTCCTGAGTATTTCCTGCTTTTGACCACGAGCTGAGAAATGACCCCACCACTACTGCCAGAAGCCTGTGAGCTCGCTCTGTGTGTTTCACATTAATGACCACACCAAAGTCCAGTGTAAAATGTACCTACTGCAACCCTGGGTTAGGCAGCCTTTGAGCCCTGCCTACAATGACAGACAGTGTTGGGACCTCTCTAGGCTCTCCTCCTTCCACATGCACACACAGAGGCCGGAACTCCCTGGACTAATGGTGAGTTATACCAGGGCTGGCTGGTGAATGCACAATAGTCACCCACTGCATCAATCCTCCTCCCATTGCTGAGTTCACATTCGCCTCTTCCATTTAGGAGATTGAGAGCCTGGGAAATTCATCTCTGCACCGTCTCTATCTGAGCATGAGGATATAAAATTTACCTTCAGGTACAGCTGTGGGGGAGGATGAATGCGTTACTTTATGTGAAGTGTGCAGTGGTGATGCAACTTCTTAGAAACATTGCTCCTTGGGTTGTGCTCTGCACAGGGGAACATGCTTTCTGGGGAAATGCCCACACACTCCCAAAGACATTCCCAATCCCTCCACATGACTCTCTCCTCCGTACCTCCCGACCCTGAGGCACAACACACTGTTCCATCTACATGACAATCCTGCCTCCCCGGACTCCAGTGATGGTCACAGGTCTCTACTGGACTCAGTGTTTTTTATACCAAACTGTCCAAACCTCATTTCTCTCAGGAAGCTCAAACCAAAGTGGCTCTCCGGCAAAAGCAGGCGAACAAGTGCCACCTTTTGCAACCCTGACGATCTTTTCTTAGCAAAGGAGTGATTCCAGAACACACACCTTTTTCTTCAGGCAGTCCGCCGGCCTGCATTGAGAGAGAGAAACACTGTGAGTTTCAGACCATCCGAGTCCCGTGTGCACAGGTCTTTTCTTCACTTGGTGGCAGTAGAAAAGCAGATGGAAAACAGTGATCAAGTAGGGAACCCAAAAGAAGAACGGGACAAATCAACTCACGCTAAAGTTTTGTTTGTTTGCTTGTTTGTTTTTATTTTATTTATTTATTTATTTATTTTTTGAGGCGGAGTCTCGCTCTGTCCCCCCGGCTGGAGTGCAGTGGCCGGATCTCAGCTCACTGCAAGCTCCGCCTCCCGGGTTTACGCCGTTCTCCTGCCTCAGCCTCCCGAGTAGCTGGGACTACAGGCGCCCGCCACCTCGCCCGGCTAGCTTTTTGTATTTTTTAGTAGAGACGGGGTTTCACCGTGTTAGCCAGGATGGTCTCGATCTCCTGACCTCATGACCCACCCACCTCGGCCTCCCAAAGTGCTGGGATTACAGGTGTGAGCCACTGCTCCTGGCCTTGTTTTTATTTTAAGACGGAGTCTCGCTCTGTTGCCCAGGCTGGAGTGCAGGGCAATCTCAGCTCACTGCAAGCTCCGCCTCCCGGGTACAAGCAATTCTCCTGCCTCAGCCTCCCGAGTAGCTGGGACTACAGGCGCCCGCCACCATGCGTGGCTAATGTTTTGTATTTTTAGTAGAGACGAGGTTTCACCCTGTTAGCCAGGATGGTCTCGATCTCCCGACCTCATGATCCGCCCGTGTCAGCCTCCCAAAGTGCTGGGATTACAGGCAGGAGCCACCGCGCCCGGCCTAAAGTTTCTCCTGGAGGATGTTTCCTCTCAAGGTCATGTTCCTTGGCAATTAAGTGATTTTGCCCCAAGGAGAAAATCAAGCTGCTGAGGAAAAAGCTCACTGCCGCTCAGGGCGTGGCTGATGCTGTCATTTTCTCCCGCCGTCTTAAATCAAACCTTAGTGGGGAACAGACTCACTCAGAATTCCCCCCACCAAGGACACTGTGTAAGTCACCAATGATATATACGGCCAGGTTATCATATCTTATTTTAATTTAAGAAGATAAGGCTAAGAAACTAACTTTTTCTGTGACAACAGCAGGTGGCCTGACCTGCCACTGTCGTGGGGCCTCCTCATCTGATTCATAGATGAATTTTTCCACGGGACCCTCCATGGGACCTAGGAGGACACAGAGTGACCATCAGGAGGTGCAGGAGAGCAGCAGGGAAGGCTTTTGATCCTCAGGCCGCCTCATCAACGTAAAACAGCCCGTCTCGAACCGGGCACCGCACCCAGGCCAGGCTGTGTGTCCCTGCAGCCTCTCAGGGCTCCTGCCTCCTCATTTGATCCAAGCTCACTTGCCCTCCCTTCCTGCGTCCTTCCAACGTCATTTCCTTCCCAGAATCCACCTGATAATTACAGCTGCTGCTGTAAATATCATCCCACCTAGCAACCTTTCTTTAAAGAGAAGACTTAATTGTAACCAAAATATTCTAATTATTTCCTCGTCATTTTTGAAGGCAATGAAATAAAGCTTTGAAAATACTCAGTTTTCTTCCTATTTAAAGGTAACCCCTATTTAGCACCTGCTATCTGTCCTTCCATTCTCTCTTTTCCATACATGTGTGTGTGTGTCCGTGGAGTCTGTTGCTGCTCACACTTACACTGGCTTTGACACTGGGACAGCCTGTCATGAGGGCAGCGTGTGGGGGCGCTGACCCTCTCTAACCCAGCTGTTGGAGATTCCAGCAGGGAAGAGGGGGCACCAGGCTGACACCCAAGTTGTTTTTGACACTATATTGGGCGCTACTTCTTGGGTGTGTGTGTCACTAAGCTGGAGCATTTCTAAGGCTCGTGGTCATCATGATTTTGGTTTGTTTTGGTTTGTTTTTTTGTGGCGAGATCTCACTCTGTTTCCCAGATGGGATGCAGTGGCACAATCAGGGCTCACTGAAGACTCCACCTGCCAGGCTAAAGCAATCCTCTGGCCTCAGCCTCCTGAGAAACTGGGACTATAGTAGCACGTCACCACGCCCGGCTAATTTTTGTGTTTTGTGTAGAGATGTGGCTTTACTATGTTGCCCAGGCTGATCTGAAACTCCTGGGCTCAAGTGATCCTCCTGCCTCAACCTCTCAAAGTGCTGGGATTACAGGCCTGAGCCTCCCCATTGGGTCCAATCATATCTTTAAACACAATAGGACATATCCCTGATTATTCTCTGCTTTTGAACAGCAGGTGAGAAATGACACCACCACTGCAGCCAAAAGCCTGTAACTCCCCTATATGTGTTTCACATTAAGGACCACCCCAAAGTCCACTGTGTTGCTACCCTGCCTTTCACCATCACTGAGGACATCTTACAGTGCTGGGCAGTGTTGGGATCTCTCTAGGCTGTCGTGCCTCCACATGCACACACAGATGCTGGAACTCCCTGGTATGGTGACAAGTTATACCAGGACCACATGAGGACTGTGGAGTAGCAGCCCATCACGTCAACCTTTCACCCCTTCCTGAGTTCACATTTGCCTTTTCCATTCAGGAAATTGAGAGCTTGGGAAATTCATCTCTCCACCATCTCCAATCTGAGGACGGGGGATATTCAACTAACCTTCCGGTACAGCTGTGGTGAAGGATGAAGTGTTGACTGATGTGGGGATGGAATGTTGTTTCTAGAACATTGATCCTTGGGTCATGCTTTGCACAGGGGAACATGCTTTCTAGAGAAATGCACACACACTCCCAAAGGCATTCACCATCACTCCACACGGACTCTCTCCTCCATACCTCTCCACCCCGATGCACCCTATTCCTATTTAAATGACATCACTGCTTCTGGACACTACCGTGGATGGTCACAGTTGTTGACTCAAAACTCTTCATTTTTTCACACCAAACCGCCCAAACCTCATTTGCAGCAGGAAGCTCAAACCAGCAAAAGCCGGGAGGAAAGCGTCACCTTTCTCAACACTAAGATATTTTCTTAGCAAATGGGTGACCCGCAGACTACATACCGCTTGACTGAAACGCTGAGTCCCTCTGCAGAGAGAAAGGAAAACACCGTGAGTGTCAGACCAGGCTGTGTCCTGTGTGCACAGGTCTTTTCTTCAGTGGCTGACATTAGAAAACCAGATGAGAAATAGTGTTTGATGCAATGGCCCCAAAATAAAGCCTAGAAGACACTTGTGGAAAGGCAGGCACGAGAGTTTTGTCTAAGACTTTCATATGATTTTTGTTGTAAATCCACCATTGTTTTCAAACAGTAAGCACTTCTCCTGAGGAAAAGGTTACCTGCACACAGTTTGTAACTGAAGGTGTCATCTATGCATGCCATCATGACCTAGCTGGTCATGAACTCTCACATTTTCCCACCAAGAAATTCTGTAACTTATCTATAATGTCCATGGTAAGGTTTGTATATCTTAATTCAAATGAAATAGGAAGAAGCCAAGAGAAATACAATTCCCATCTTAGTCAAAGAAAGATCTCACTTTGAAAACGGCCAGGACTTCCTCTGTGGACTTCTCTCTAGGAAGCTCTGCTGAAAGAAACTTGAAACCTAGGAAACACGAGAGTCACTGTCAGCGCATGGGAGCTGCGGAAGGATCCCTCAGGCAGCCTTGGGTGCTGTGGACAGGGGGCTGGCGTGTGTGGAAAAGGTGGGTTAACAGCACGGGCTGAGCTGCTGCTGGCTGTCCTCCTTAGTGGAGAAGGAAGGCAAAGGAGACCATCAGGAAAGCCCTGGGAGACAGAGCCTTGGTTCTCTAGCTAAGCCACCCTCATCGGTGTGAAAGCTGATCTCAAACAGGGTACAGCATACAATGTGGCTGTGTTTCAACAAAAGCATCTCAGGGAGCCTTCTATTCAAACCTGAGCTAAGTTGTACTTTTTTCTTTCTTTTTTTTTTTTCTTTCTTTCTTTTTCTTTTTTTTTTTTTTTTTTTGAGATGGTCTCGCTCTGTCACCCAGGCTGGAGTGCTGTGGTTCAATCACAACTCACTGCAGCCTCGACCTTCCAAGCCCAGGTGGATCCTTTGCCTCAGCCTCCAAGTCACTAAAACTACAGATGCCCAAATCATACCCAGCTGATTTCTTGTATTTTTTGTAGAAATGGGGTTTTTCCAGGTTGCCCAGGCTGGTCTCGAACTCCTGGGCTCAAACAATACACCCACCATGGCCTCCAAAAATACTGGGATTACAGGCGTGAGCCACAGGTCCCGGCCTGTGCTGCCTTCCTGATCCCTTCTGAGGGCATTTACTCCCAGGACCCATCCGCACTGCTGTGTGGATCACCCCTCCTATAAGATTTCTTACTTCATAAAATCAGCCCTTCTTTCAAAATATGTAATTCAGCCAAAATATTCTATAACATTTATCTGTCAAACATCTGTTTTAAGGAAAATCAAAGATTTGAAAATATACTTATCCTACCATTTAAACATGACATGTCACATGTGCTATCTGTCCTTCCAGGCCTCTCCTTTTCAAACACAACACGTGTCCAGGGAGTCTGCTACTGCTCAGGCTCCCCTCGGCTCTGACACTGGAGAGCCCGTCCTGGAAGCAAGCAGTGGGGGCGCCTGACCCTCTCATCCCAGCTGTGCAGGAATTCCAGCAGGGGAGACGGGCACCAGGCTAACGCCCAAGTTGTTCCTTGAGCCCCTGTTTGATGCTGTGCCTTAGGTGTGTGTGCTAGTGAACTGGAGCATTTCTAAGGCTTGTGGTTACTATGTTCTCAAATACAACAGAATGTGTCCCTGATTATTCTCTGCTCTTGACCGGGGGCTGAGGAATGAACCCATCATGCCGCCAAAACCCTCTGAGCTCTGCAAGTGTGCCTCACATTAATGACCACACCAAATTCCACTGTAAAATGTAGCTATTCCTACCCGGTGTTAGGTGACCACTAAGACCGTCCTGTAATGACAGTGCTTAAAATCTCTGCAGGCTAGCACACCTCCACATGCGCACATAGGTGCTGGAACTCCCTGGCATGGTGATGAGTTATGCCACGGCTGTCTGATAAATGCACAATAGTAGCCCGTCGCATCCATGTTTCACCCATTCTTGAGTTCACATTTGTCTCTTCCATTTTGGAGACCAAGAGCTTGGGAAACTCATCTCTACACCGTCTCTATCTGAGGAGTGAGGACAGGAAACTTACCTTCAGGTACAGCTGCCATGGAGAATGAAAGGGTTGATTGATGTGGCGTGTACAATGGTGATGAATGTTGTGTTTAGAACAGTAATCTTTGTGTTGTGCTTTGCACATAGGAACATGCTTTCTGGGGAAATGCACACACGCTCCCAAAGACATTTGTGATCCCTTTACACAGACTCTGTCCTCCACACCTCCCAACCCTGATGCACACCACCCTCTTCCATCTAAATGACACCACTGCTTCAGGGACTAGACTGGGATGGTCACAGTTCTTTACTAGACTCTTAATGTTTTCTAACCAAACTGTCCAAACCTCATTTCTGGCAGGCAGCTCAATCCAAAGTGGCTCTCCAGCAAAAGCAGGCTAGTAAGTTCCACCTTTCTCAACAATGAAAACTTTTTCTTAGGAAAGGGGTGCGTCCAGAATACTTACGTCTTTTCACGTGAGCTCCTAGTCCTCCTGTTCGCTGCATATAGAGAAAGGAAATACTGTGAGCATCGGCCATGCTGTGTCCTGTGTGCACAGGTCTTTGTTTACATGATGACATTAGAAACCCAGACAGGACATAGTGCCTGAGGCAATGGCCCCAAAATAAAGCCTAGAAGACATTGTGGAAAGGCACAAGAGTTTTGTGTAAGATTTTCGAAATGATTTTGGTTGCAAAGTCACCGTCATTTTCAAGAACGAATTTCTCAGGAGGAAAATGCCCTCTGCCATGCAGTTTGTCACTAAAGCTGTCACCTACGGGTACCATCTTGAATCAGCTCTTAGTTGGTAATGGACTCTTACTTACATTTGCCCACCAAGAAATTCTGCAATTCATCTATAATTTCCATGGTGAGATTTGCATATCATAATTCAAATGAAATGGAAAGAAACCAAGAGAAATAAAATTCTCATCTCAGACAAAGAAAGAAGACTTTACCTTGCGACGAGCTACAACCGCTTCTGGGATGATCTGATTGGTCACCGTCGCTAGGAAACATAGAGTCACTGTCAGCCGTGGGAGCTGCTGAAGGACCTCTGGCAGCCTTGGGTGCTGGGCACACAGGGCTGGCGTGTGTGGAGGAGGTGGGCGAGAGCACGGGCTGAGCTGCTGCTGGGCCACCCTCCTTGGTGGTGAAGGAGGCAAAGGACACCATCAGGAGAGCCCTGGGAGACAGAGTCTCGGGTCTGTGGCTAAGCCACCCTCATCACTGTGAAGTAGGCAGTGTTCACACAGGCAGCACACAAATGCAGGAGACATCACTCCAGGACAGGGTCTCCTCACAGAAAGAGGCCCGCTAAATATCCTCTTTTTTGTAAAAATATTACTATATGTTACTTAACTTTCCTAAATAAACCCATGCTCCTGCTGCAATTAATATCCATTTCATTGGACTTTAAAACATTATGGTGAGCTATGCATAATATTTATTATTTTAATCCTTAATTGCACACTTCAGGAGCAGACAGGACCACAACAGCAAACACAGAGGGGAGCCCACGCACTTCTCCCGACCCTGAATCAGAATCCACACGGGAACCTGGATTTGTGTGGGACTCAGCAGACTGCAGAGGGTGAGCAGGAAGCCTTTTCACACTCGTGGTCTATCTCAGGACAGGGCTGTGTGCATCAGAACATCACTGGGGCCCCAAGATGGCCTGCCCAGGGCTGAGCTCTGGGATGAGAACCAACAAAAAAGACACAGCGCTGCCTTCACAGTGACCAGCCATGGCCAGAATCCTTCCACCCATGGGTGAAGAACACAGACTTTGGGACTGATGATTCCAAGCCTATCTCAGAAAAACAAGCAAAGTGATGTCTTGTGGGTCACAAGGGAGATTTACAAGGAACACCTGGTCTCTGGGGCAGCCCCTCCCTTTGCTTAGCTCATCCCACACTGGAACTGGCTCCCCTCCCACTTCTGCCTCAACTAGTGTGAAGCGGCTGCCCTGGCCAGGAGCTATGAGGCTCCCTCCAGTTAAATGTGATTCTGGGATAAATCAACCTTGACCAACAGCATCTACACAAGGACCAGCTGTCAGGTGACTTCCAGAAGCTGGTGAAAAGTAAATGCTCTTCTCTGTCCCAGCCACAGGGAGAGCAGAGGCCTGAGGACGGCTCTGTGCCTGGCCTGACTCTGATGTCCAGCCCTGCTCATCATATCCCCCGCGTCTAAGTCAGGTATTTTGGGAATTCACTCCTCTTCTTTGCCTCTCACTAATTTCTGATTGTGTTATTGCCATCAACACAGAAAGATGGAGAAGAGAAATGAAAACGCAGCTCCTCTCTCCAGGCTCTTGGAAAGATGGCCAGGCAGTGCTCATGCCGGTGCTGAAGTCCAAGCTCTGCTCCTTCCCCGTCAGATGGGCCCGAACATCCTGGCTGCGCCCAGGGCATGACATTGGCCTGACTCTCCTGACCTTTCAACCTTGGCTTTCCCCCATGGCTTGGACGTCCTCATGTCTTCTTCCTGCTCCTCTAACTCATATTCCCTTTCAGGCCCAGGCCCAGGCTGTGCTCTGCTCTCTCATGGAGCCCACTGGGCAGCTGGCCGTGAATGTTTAGAACCTCAGTGTTGGCAACACTGATTTGTACCTCTAATCACACACAGCAGAAGGGCCGCCTCAGTGCCACAGAAAAACTGTACTCTAGAGAGGAAAGATGACTAGGGGAATTTGGTTATGAGGATATACTTTCTGGGGCAAACAAGGGACATTTTAAAATCACACAGCCTCATTCTATTGAAAAGTAGGAAAAACACTGTCACCTACGCAGCAATCCAAATGACATATAAGCAGTTTCTACCAAACGCACACTCCAAAGAAACTCAAACCAGAGTTGGCTCATTTTAGATCCATATGGACTAAAACCAACCACCTTGATTTGTTTTTTGCACAGGCCTTCAGAGGCAAAGAAGAACCTTTGTCAACAGTGGGGGCAACGGGAGCATCACGGAGCCTCTGCTGTCCCACAGCTGTTTGTCTTTCCCCACCTGCAAGTCACGAGCCACCCTCCATCCTGCTAGGAGGAAGGCAAGGGCTCACCCTGCCAGCCACTCGGACCCTCGGGCAAACCCTTTGGTTCTCTTGTCCTGTTGCTGTGTTTCCTGAGCCGAACACACAGAGACCATGACTAGGCTGAGTGCTGCAGGCTGAGCCTCTACATGACCCCGGCATTAGCTGTTCTGGGCCACATTATCCGATGGTCAATATGAGGCCACAATGGAGAGTCGGGTGATTTCACCCCAACCCTGCCTGCAGGCTCCTCTTTTCTCAGTCTCCTGCCAAAACTGGTCATAGCATGGGGCTGCCCAGGGTCTCCCTGCAAAGAAAGAAGCCCCGCCCACTCCCCATGCTGAACACGGGTCCTGGAGGACGAGTTCTGATGACTCCAGTAGAAAAGGCTTGTGAAGGAGGGAAGTGGCAACAGTGAGGTGACACGACCACTCCAATGCCAGGAGGAAATGGAAAGGCCTGTTACCAGGTGAGGTTTATTGAAAAATGAGGTTTGGAAGGGGATTCCCATTGAAAAATAAAAATGAATTAGTAGGGATCCTAAGACAGTTTTGTTCTGTTAGTACCCAGTGAACATTTGCTGGGTGTTGACGGGATTTCCTTTGGATTAATTGAAGTGTTCTTTGCATGCAGTAAACTACATACATCGTAAGCTTACATTTTCACTAATAACTGCCTGTGCCTCTTATCAGGCTGCAAGACTGATGGCATTTTTATACTAAGAATGTGGACACTAATAAGGGGGAGACATGTGTTAGGGACACACACGCACACACCCAGGCACAGTCAGCATCACACTACACGCATTCACACAGACACACACCAGTCCCGTGCACACAAACCCACCCCACACACAGAGAATGCAGGTCCTCTCAGGGACTGCAGAATGTGCCCACAGGTCCTTCACCGGAGCAACCACTTCTCCCGCCACAGCCCGGGTCCTCAGTCACAACAGGAAGCTCCACTCCGGCTGCCTGTGTGCAGGAAAGCCAGCGACACAGAGGCACATTCCTCATCACCTGGATTCCTCATTCACACGGGAGGGATTCCCCCATACATACCACTCTCCTGCTCTCTCCAGGCCTCCTGTAATCACAGAAAACATATTGCTGTGAGCGCCAGACCATGCTGTGTGCTGTGTGCCCAGGCCTTTTCCTCACTTGGTGACATTAGAAAACCAGATGGCAAACAGTGCTCAAGCCCAAGGAACCAAAAGAAGAGGACAAACCACCTCATGCTAAAGACACAAGTTTTTCTTGGAGGATGTTTCCTCTAAGTCCATGTTGCTTGGTAATTAAGTAATTTTGTTCTAAGAAGACAATCAAACGGCTAAGGGAAAAGCTCACAGCCACACAGTGCGTGGCTGGTGCTGTCATATTTTCCTGCAGTTTAAAATAAAGCCTCAGTGGGGAACAGACTCTCCCCCTAAATTCTCCCCACCAAGGACACTGTGTAAGTCACCTGTGATAAATACGGTCAGATTCTCATCTCTTAGGCTCATTCAGAAAGATAAAGCTAGGAAAGCAACTGTATTCCTCAGATAAATGCAGGGGTCTGACCTTCACTTTCCAAGGAGGCTTTTCCTGGAGATCCTCGGTGGAATCTAGGAAGACAAAGAGTGACGGTCAGCAGGTGCAAGGGAGGAGCAGGGAAGAACAGCTTTCTAGCCCCAGGCCGCCTCATCAAGTGAAATAGCCCATCTTGAACAGGGCACAGCACCCAGGGCAGGCTGTGCGTCCCTACAGCCTCTCAGGGCTCCTGCCTCCTAACCTGACCTGAGTTCACTTGCCCTCCCTTCCTGCATCCTTCCAACGTCATTTCCTCCCTAGAACCCACCTGTGGTGCTTCGGTGTGTATCAGTCATTCTAGAATATTTTATACTTGGTAAAAAGCAGCCTTTGTTCTAAGAGACTTCATTCTAGCTCCAATATTCTATACATTCACCAATCTTTTGTGTTAAAGACAATAAAACGAAGCTTTGAAAATACTCAATTATATTCTATTTAAAGATAACCCCACTTAGCAAGTGCTGTCCGTCCTTGCACTCAGCCTTCTCAATGCGATGTCTGTGTGTCGGGGTCCCCTGCTGCTCACACGCACACTGGCTGTGACACTGGGACAGCACGTCATGGGGGCAGCAGGTGGCAGCACTGACCATCTCCAACCCAGCTGTGCCGGAGGTTCCAGCAGGGGAGACGGTGGGAGGCCAACACCCAAGTTGTTCCTTGGGATGATACTTGGCGCTGTGTATTGATTGTGTTTGCTACGTAACTAAAGCATTTCTTTCCTTCTTTCTTTCGATAACGGGTCTCTGTTACCAAAGCTGGAGTGTAGTGGCACGATCTCTGCTCACCGGAACCTGTGCCTCCTGGGATCTAGTGATCCTCCCCAGTCAGCCTCCCAGGTAGCTGGGACCACGGGTGGGCCACCACGCCGAGGTAGCTTTTTGTATTTTTAGTAGGTACGAGGTTCCACCACTCTGCCTACCTTCATCTCCACTCCTGATCTCAAGTGATCCACTTGCCTCGACCTCCGAAACTACTAGGATTACAGGCGTGAGCCACTGTTCCTGGCCAACTGGAGCGTTTCTAAGGTTTGTGATAATCATGTTATCAAATACAATAGAGCATGTTCCTGAGTATTCCCTGCTTTTCACCATGAGCTGAGAAATGACCTCACCACTACTGCCAAAAGCCTGTGAGCTCGCTCTGTGTGTTTCACACTAATGACCACACCAAAGTCCAGTGTAAAATGTACCTACTGCTACCCTGGGTTAGGCAACCTTTTGAGACCTGCCTACAATGACAGACAGTGTTGGGACCTCTCTAGACTCTCATCCTTCCACATGCACACACAGAGGCCGGAACTCCCTGGACTAATGGTGAGTTATACCAGGGCTGGCTGGTGAATGCACAATAGTCACCCACTGCATCAATCCTCCTCCCATTCCTGAGTTCACATTCGCCTCTTCCATTTAGGAGATTGAGAGCCTGGGAAATTCATCTCTGCACCGTCTCTATCTGAGGATGAGGATATAAAATTTACCTTCAGGTACAGCTGTGGGGGAGGATGAATGCGTTACTTTATGTGAAGTGTGCAGTGGTGATGCAACTTTATTTTTAGGGAAATTGCTCCTTTGATTGTGCTCCACACAGGGAAACATGCTTTTTGAGTAAATGCCCACACACTCCCAAAGACATTCCCAATCGCTCCACACGACTCTCTCCTCCGTACCTCCCCACCCTGATGCACAACACACTGTTCCATCTACATGACAATCCTGCCTCCCCGGACTCGAGTGGACGGTCACAGGTCTTTACTGGACTCAGTGTTTTTTATACCAAACTGTCCAAATCTCATTTCTGTCAGGAAGCTCAAACCGAAGTGGCTCTCCAGCAAAAGCAGACTAGGAAGTGCCACCTTTTGCAACACTGACGATCTTTCCTTAGAAAGGACTGATTCCAGCACACACACCTTTCTCCTCGGCCTGTTCCTCTGCCTGCATTGAGAGAAAGAAAAACATGAGCTTCAGACCATCCGAGTCCCGAGCGCGCAGGTCTTTTCTTCACTTGGTGACATTAGGAAACCAGATGGAAAACAGTGCTCAAACCAAAGGAACACAGAAGAAGAACAGGACAAACTGACTCAGGCTAAAGTTTCTCCTGGAGGACGTGTCCTCTAACTCCGTGCTGCTTGGTGATTCAGTGATTTTCCCCAAGGAAAGAATCAAGCTGCTGAGAAGAAAGCTCACTGCCGCTCAGGGCGTGGCTGACGCTGTCATTTTCTCCCGCCATCTTAAATCAACCCTCAGTGGGGAACAGACTCACTCAGAATTCCCCCCACCAACGACACTGTGTAAGTCACCTATGAGATATAGGGTCAGATTCTTATGTCTTATTTTAACTCAAGAAGATAAAGCTAAGAAAGTAACTTTTTCCCAGAGAAAACCAGGTGGCCTGACCTGCACTTCTGCGGCGTCTTCATCTCTGCTTTTCCTGCGGAGTTTCTTCAAGAGAGAATCTCTTGCCACTAGGAAGACACAGTGACCGTCAGCAGGTGCAGGACAGGAGCAGGGAAGACAGGCTTTCCAGCCCCGACTGCCTCATCCATGTGAAACAGCCCATCTTGAACAGGGCACCGCACCCAGGGCAGGCTGTGTGTCCCTGCAGCCTCTCAGGGCTCCCGCCTCCTCATCTGACCCGAGCTCACTTGCTCTCCCTTCCTGCGTCCTTCCAAGGTCATTTCCTCCCCAGAATCCACCTGTGGTGCTGCTGTGGCGATCATCCCTCCTAGAGGTTTCCTTTCTTTTTTTTTTTTTTTTTTTTTGAGACAGAGTCTCACTCTGTCGCCCAGGCTGGAGTGCAGTGGTGCGATCTCGGCTCACTGCAAGCTCCGCCGCCTCCTGGGTTCACGCCATTCTCCTGCCTCAGCCTCCCGAGAAGCTGGGACTACAGGCGCCCGCCACCACGCCCGGCTAATTTTTTTTTTTTTTTTATTTTTAGTAGAGACGGGGTTTCACCGTGTTTGCCAGGATGGTCTCCATCTCCTGACCTCATGATCGGCCTGCCTCGGCCTTCCAAAGTGCTGGGATTACAGGTGTGAGCCACCATGCCCGGCCCCTCCTAGAGGTTTTCTACTTGATAAGAAGCAGCCTTTCTTTAAAGAGAAGAATTAATTTGAACCAAAACCTTCTATTTTTTCACTATCCATTTGTTTTTAGGACAATGAAACAAAGCTTTGAAAATACTCAGTTTTCTTCCCATTTAAAGATAACTCCTATTTAGCACGTGCTATCTGTCCTATACTCTCTCTTTTCCATACGTGTGTGTGTCCGTGGAGTCTGTTGCTGCTCACACGTACACTGGCTTTGACACTGGGACTGCCTGTCATGTGGGCAGCATGTGGGGGCGCTGACCCTCTCTAACCCAACTGTTGGAGATTCCAGCAGGGAAGAGAGGGCACCAGGCTGACACCCAAGTTGTTTTTGACACCATATTGGGCGCTACTTCTTGGGTGTGTGTGTCACTAAGCTGGAGCATTTCCTTTTTTTTTTTTTTTTTTTTTTTTTTTTTTTTTTTGAGACGGAGTCTCACTCTGTCGCCCAGGCTGGAGTGCAGTGGCCGGATCTCTGCTCACTGCAAGCTCCGCCTCCCGGGTTCATGCCATTCTCCTGCCTCAGCCTCCGGAGTAGCTGGGACTACAGGCGCCCGCCACCTCGTCCGGCTAGTTTTTTGTATTTTTTTTTTTTTTTTTTAGTAGAGACGGGGTTTCACCGTGTTAGCCAGGATGGTCTCGATCTCCTGACCTCGTGATCCGCCCGTCTCAGCCTCCCAAAGTACTGGGATTACAGGCTTGAGCCACCGCGCCCAGCCAGCTGGAGCATTTCTTTTTTTTTTTTTTTTTTTTTTTTTTTTTTTTTTTTTTTTTTTTTTTTTGAGACGGAGTCTCGCTCAGCCGCCCAGGCTGGAGTACAGTGGCTGGATCTCAGCTCACTGCAAGCTCCGCCTCGGGGTTCACGCCATTCTCCTGCCTCAGCCTCCGAGTAGCTGGGACTACAGGCGCCGCCACCTCGCCGGCTAGTTTTTTGTATTTTTTAGTAGAGACGGGTTTCACCGTGTTAGCCAGGATGGTCTCGATCTCCTGACCTCGTGATCCACCCGTCTCGGCCTCCCAAAGTGCTGGGATTACAGGCTTGAGCCACCGCGCCCGGCCCCAGCTGGAGCATTTCTAAGGCTTGTGATCATCATGATTTTTGTTTGTTTGTTTTTGTGGCAGGATCTCACTCTGTTTCCCAGATGGAATGCAGTGGCGCAATCATCGCTCACTAAAGATCAACCTGTCCAGCCAAAGCAATCCTCTGGCCTCAGCCTCCTGAGAAACTGGGACTATAGTAGCACGTCACCACGCCCGGCTAATTTTTGTATGTTGTGTAGAGGTGTGGTTTTTCCATGTTGCCCAGGCTGATCTGAAACTCCTGGGCTCAAGTGATCCTCCTGCCTCAACCTCTCAGTGTGCTGGGATTACAGGCATGAGCCTCCGCACTGGGTCCAATCATATCTTTAAATACAATGGGACATGTCCCTGATTATTCTCTGCTTTTGAACAGCAGCTGAGAAATGACACCACCACTGCAGCCAAAAGCCTGTGACTCCCCTACGTGTGTTTCACATTAAGGACCACCCCAAAGTCCACTGTATTGCTACCCTGCCTTTCGCCATCACTGAGGACATCTTACAGTGCTGGGCAGTGTTGGGATCTCTCTAGGCTGTCGTGCCTCCACATGCACACACAGATGCTGGAACTCCCTGGTGTGGTGACAAGTTATACCAGGACCACGTGAGGACTGCGGAGCAGCAGCACATCGCGTCAACATTTCACCCCTTCCTGAGTTCTCTTTGGCCTTTTCCATTCAGGAAATTGAGAGCTTGGGAAATTCATCTCTCCACCGTCTCCAATCTGAGGACGGGGGATGTTCAACTAACCTTCCGGTACAGCTGTGGTGAAGGATGAAGTGTTGACTGATGTGGGGATGGAATGTTGTTTCTAGAACATTGATCCTTGGGGCGTGCTTTGCACAGGGGAACATGCTTTCTAGAGAAATGCACACACACTCCCAAAGGCATTCACCATCACTCCACACGGACTCTCTCCTCCATACCTCTCCACCCCGATGCACCCTATTCCTATTTAAATGACATCACTGCTTCTGGAAACTACAGTGGATGGCCACAGTTGTTGACTAAACTCTTCATTTTTTTACACCAAACCACCCAAACCTCATTTCCAGCAGGAAGCTCAGACCAGGGTGGCTCTCCAGCAAAAGCCGGGAGGAAAGCGTCACCTTTCTCAAAGCTAAGATTTTTCCTTATCACATGGGAGATCCCAGAGTACGTACTGTATTCCTGAATCGCTGAGAACGTCTGCAGAGAGAAAGGAAAACACTGTGAGGATCAGACCATGCTGTGTCCTGTGTTCGTGGGTCTTTTCTTCACTTGGTGACGTTAGAAAACTGGTTGGGCAGTTTGGGAGGCCGAGACGGGCGGATCACGAGGTCAGGAGATCGAGACCATCCTGGCTGACACGGTGAAACCCCGTCTCTATTAAAAAATACAAAAAACTAGCCGGGCAAGGTGGCGGGTGCCTGTAGTCCCAGCTACTCGGGAGGCTGAGGCAGGAGAATGGCGTAAACCCGAGAGGCGGAGCTTGCAGTGAGCTGAGATCCGGCCACTGCACTCCAGCCTGGGCGACAGAGCAAGACTCTGTCTCAAAAAAAAAAAAAAAAGAAAACCAGTTGGGAGATAGTGCTCGAGTCAATGGCCCCCAAATAAAGCCTAGAAGACACTTGTGGAAATGAGTAAGAGTACTGCATGAGATTTCCAAAACAATTTTTGATTGCAACGTCACCGCTATTTTCAAGAATGCATTTCTCCTGAGGAAAATGCTGTCTGCCATGCAGGGTATCACTAATGCTGTCATCTATGAGTGCCATCTGGAACAAGTTCCAAGTTGGCAATGAATGGGCGCTCACATACCTCTGCCCACCAAGAAATCTGTGGCTCATCTGTAAAGTACGTAGTAAGATTTAAATATCTTAATTCAGAGAAAATAGAAAGAAACCAAAAGAAATAAAATTGCCATCTCAGACAAAGACAGAAGACTTTACCGAGTGTGCTGCCCGGATCAGGTCCCAGGAAGTCACCGAGGGCCACTGCCACTCCTGGAGGTAGAAGAAGCCTAGGAAACATAGAGTCACTGTCAGCCATGGGAGCTGCTGAAGGACCTCTGGCAGCCTTGGGTGCTGAGCACACAGGGCTGGCGTGTGTGGAGGAGGTGGGCGAGAGCACGGGCTGAGCTGCTGCTGGGCCACCCTCCTTGGTGGTGAAGGAGGCAAAGGACACCCTCAGGAGAGCCCTGGGAGACAGAGTCTCGGGTCTGTGGCTAAGCCACCCTCATCACTGTGAAGTAGGCAGTGTTCACACAGGCAGCACACAAATGCAGGAGACCTCACTCCAGGACAGGGTCTCATCACAGAAAGAGGCCTGGTAAATATCCTTTATTTTTTAAAAAGTTACTGTGTTTAACATTCCTGACTCTACATATGCTCCTTCTGCACTTATCACCTCTATTATTGAATTTTTTTTTTTTCTTTAGACTGAGTCTGCACATCCGCTCATGCACCTCTGCCTCCTGGGTTCAAGCGAGTCTCCTGCCTCAGCCTCCTGATATTATTGGATTTTAAAGCATTATCATGGTGAAAAATACACAACATGTATTATTTTAATTATTAAGTGCACACTTCGGAGCATTAGTTCTATTCACAATGCTGCACAGAATAACTAAAAACAGGCCAGGCACAGAGGCTTACACCTGTAATCCCAGCACTTCGGGAGGCCAAGGTGGGTGGATCACCTGAGGTCAGGAGTTTGAGACAAGCCTGACCAAAATGGTGAAACCCCATCCCTACTAAAAATACAAAAATTAGCTGGGCATAGTGGTGGGTGCCTGTAATCGCATCTTCTAGGGAGGCTGAGACAGGAGAATCACTTGAACTGGAGGTTGCTGTGAGCCAAGATCGTGCCATTGCACTCCAGCCTGGGCAACAGAGCAAGACTTTGTCTTAAAAAAATAAACAATCAAATAAAACTAAAAACAATCTTAATTCAGTTTTCTTACCTTCCACCTTAGGAAGCTAGAGAAAAAACTATAGTGTAATGTAAACCAGACAGAAAAATAGAACAAAAAATTATTTGTAGAAATCATTGTAATAGAAATGAAAAAATAAACAAAACCAAGGGTTGCTTCATAGAAAAGATAAATGGAATTGATAAACCTCCAGCCAGACTAACCACCAAGAAAAGCTAGAAGACACAATTTACAAATAATATAAATAAAAGGAAGAATCATTCCTGCTGATCCCATTAACATCAAGCAAACAATAAAAGAATACTTAGAATAAATCTATGCTCACAGATTTGACAGCTTAGGTAAAAATAACAAATTCCTTCAAAGGCAGAAACTATATCATAAGTACCCAAAGGAGACTCAGATAATCTGAGTAGGCTTATATCTATTATAGAAATTGAATCAATAAGAACTTTAAAAAAAAAATGACCAGGTGATTTTACTGAATTCTAACTAATTCTTACAAGGGAAAACAGAGTCTTATTATATAAACAACTGATTAAAATTCTAAACATTTACCCAGTTACATTTTAAAATTACGCCCATTGCAAAATCTGCATGAGAATGAGGGCAGCTATATTCATAATCGCCTGAACTGGAAGCAGCTGAGATACTCTTCAGGCAGTGAGTGCACCAACCCACATTGTTACATGAACCCAGTGGAATATGATTCATTGATAAAAATCAGTAAGCCGTTAAGCTACAAAAAGATATGAAAATTCTTGCATGTGTATTGCTAAGTGATATCAGTTAGTCCTAAGTGGCTGCATACTTTATGATTCCAATTGTATAGAATTTTGGGAAAGAAAATCTATAGAGGCAGTAAAATAAATGATCTATGGTAGTCAGGGGTCCTAAGAAAAGAAGAAAGGGACTAAGAGGTGTAGCACTGGTCATGTTTTGGGTGCAAAACTCTTCTGTCTGGGTGATGAATGACATTATGAGTTTGTCAAAATCCATAGGCTGAACAACACCTGGTGAGCCTTACTGCAAACTCTAGACGTTCATTAAGAAGAAGATACCACTATTGCTTCAGCCACTATAACAAATGCACCACATTCGTGTAAGATGTGATCACCAAAAAGATACTGAGGGGTGAGAGTATATGCGAACTTTCCGTAGTATTTCCATTTTCATGTTAATTTACAAGTTTCACATGATGTCCATTTGTTTGAAAAGGCAACAACATTTTATCAGGAAGAGTTCCATTTTAGCCAATGTCTAACAATCAGCTAAATATCTAAACCTTGCATTGAGATGTTCTTTACTATTAAAAGTGAACCAAACTTGAAGTGGAAATACATCTTCCGCATTTGCAGGACTAGTGATTGACTAGTACTACGCTAGTCAATTTGCACACATGAAATAAAGAAAATACAGTGTAGCAATGTCAGAGTGGTCTGAAGTGTGGGACACTGAAGAATCTGGAATCCTTATGCCTGCAAGGGTAACTGAATTTCCACGGTACCTGTATATAGCTGACCTTCAGGGGGCAAATCAGGATCACGGCGCATATGCGCTCTAAATCTGTGCGTGGATTCCGGTTCATCGGGGCAACAACCTGGGAAATGTATGAAAATAAAGACAGCTGTTGACATCTTGCTGCAGAAGACCATAGAGAAATGAGGAATCGTTTATTCACAGTTCAACCCATTACGTGTGTTCCCCGAGAACACTGTGCAGCCAGCGAGCGGCACTTTTTTTTCTAAATAGGAAATGGGTTAAATCAGGGGTCCCTAACCCCTGGGCCATCGATAGTGTGTGGCCTGTTAGGAACCGGGCTGCACAGCAGGGGGCGAGCAGCCAGCTGGGAGCAAAGCTGCATCTGTATTTACAGCCGCTCCCCATCACTGGCAGCAGCGCCTGAGCGCCACCTCCTGTCAGATTAGCCACCGCGTTGGATTCTCATAGAAGCACAAACTCTACTGTGAGCTGCACAGGCCGCGGATCCAGGCTGCACGCGCTTTATGAGAATCTAATGCCTGATGATGGGTCACTGTCTCCCATCACCCCCACATGGGACTGTCTAGTTGCAGGAGAACAAGCTCAAGGCTCCCATTGATTCTACATTATGGTGAGTTGCAGAATTACTTCATTAATTATTACAATGTAATAATAATAAAGTGCACAATAAATGTGCTAGAATCATCCTGAAAGCATCCTTCCACCCCACTCTCATCCTCCGAAAAATCATCTTCCGTGAAACTGGTCCCTGGTGTCAAAAAGGCTGGGGACCACTGGGTTCAACGTTTGATCCATTGTCCACTGTCACCATCTGCAGAGATAAGCCTCCTGAATCTGAGTTGGGCATTAGGAAGAACTTGCACTGTTGATTGCACTTAAAATGGTGCAGACCGATTGCGTAGCAAATCCCTGTACTGAGATAAGGCAAGGTGGAAAGGCGGCAGATGGGAGTGACCAAGAGCACGGGGAACTGGTGCACGAAGGTCTGGGCTCAAGTCCTTATTTGGAAGCTACATGAACTGAGAAGATCTATAGACCCTTCTGTGCCTCAGTTCCCTCTTCTGAGTAAGGAAATGTTCATAATGGCCTATGTTATGTCCTAAGGCTAAAAGTAATTAAACAGAGGTTAAGTCTGAAGAAACTAGGTGCTTCTTGAGTGCCATAAAGTGTTCAATCATTACATGTCTGAAGGAATAAGCCAGGCCCGTGACAGTGGTTAATATAGAGAAGGCACTTGAGGGGCTCCAGGGCAGTAGAGGATGAAATTTCCTTTCTCCTTCATATGGGCCCGATGCTTTAGAGCTCATGAGAGTTTCTGTTCTTTCCTGTGATGCCCACATCAGCCTGGAGGGATGGGCGGGGCAGGGGCTGCCACCCAGAGTTGACAGCTCAGGGAAGTGAATGAGGGATTTGAAGCGAGTTGCCCAGAGTCACAGCACTCAGGAGTGATGGATCTGGGACAAGAATGTAGATGGTTTTCTAGGGACAGAGGTCCCTGAACCCCTGAGGCCTCTAAAACATGGCCTGGACCCTGAACCAGGAGCTCTTTCCACTCCCTTTCTCAACCCTCCTGCCCCAGGTCTCTTCAGGAAGGTGGATGCCTGGAGGTGGCTAAGTCCAGAGAAGAGCTCAAATCATTCAAACAAAGCAAAACTTCTGTCTCTAGATTTTCATTCTTCACCTAAAATATGGCACTTGCCTGCAAACAAAGTCTCTCTGATGAACAAATTCAAATGTCTGTTCATCGTTCCCCAGCAGCGTCACACTGCCAGCTGCCTGGTAGTGAGCACCCCCCTGACCGTGACCACCCCAAGGGACCAACGTTCTGCTTGGTCCCCAAGATGGCTCAGAACTCAGAACATTCTAAGCCAACCGCCACCTGATGGCTGTGCCGAGAATCAACTTCCCTTCCACTGACCAACCCTGCATGAGAGTTCACTGAAAATGTGGCCCTCAGGGCTGGTGTTTAAGTGATTTAATGAATTAAATCTGTGACCCCCACTGTCTCACTGACCACTCATCTGAGCAACTATCTGAGCAGGACGAACTAAGGCCTGCCTGAGAATGGGCCCTATTTGAATGAAACCTATTGAATAACTTGGAAGTCACACCTGATGAGAAGGGTACTCGAATTTAATGAGACACAGCGTGTGTTCAGTCATGAGTGAATATTGCATTATAGAGAAATGTAAACAGAAGTGCTAGTAACTTGAGCAGGGGGATACCTGGCTCTAACTAACAGCATGGGGAGGTTTCCTGATCACCTAAAACAAGACATAGCAAAAGGCCAAGAGTACAAAATCATGTTACATCTGAGACAAACATTAGTATTTCAGACCTTTAAAATAAGCATTTTAGTATTACAGCAGCAGAATTAGAACCTGGGGGGGCCACGGGTCAAAGGAACTGATGAAAATGGAGATGAAAATGGAGATGAAAATGTAAAGAGTTATCACCCAAGCCAAGTAGAAAGATGCGCCTTTTCCAGGAGAGAAGAAGCAGAAGGCGATGATGTGGGGCCTGTAAATTAGGTGTAAAGAGACAGTAAAACTCGAACCTCTGAGGCATAAATCTGAGAAGTTTCACACACAAAAAAAAAAACAGATTTCAGAATAAAAAATTATTACCTCTTATAATTTCATTGAGAACAGGTTATCTATCTTAACAAAAACTTATTTTTAAACCAAAATTTTAGTTTGGTATTACTGTATTTTTAATATTGTAGCTAATTTTAATAAGACCTTATCAATAAATCTATCTACCCCAGTCAGCTTTGACTAAAAAGTAAGATTTTCATAAACCTTTTATAACCCTCTAGTAATTTTTTCTATTTTGTAACTTCGTATATCCACTTGATTGTGTTTATGTTTTTAAAATGTCTTTAATTTAAAACAATCCCTCAAAACCTCTTAACTAGGCTACTATGTTTCCCGTCAGAAAATCTGTTTGTTTTCTAAAAATCTGTGGATTCCAGGCCGGGCACAGTAGCTCACGCCTGTAATCCCAGCACTTTGGGAGGCTGAGGCGGGCGGATCACGAGGTCAGGAGATCGAGACCATCCTGGCTAACACAGTGAAACCCCGTCTCTACTAAAAATACAAAAAACTAGCCGGGCGAGGTGGCGGGCGCCTGTAGTCCCAGCTACTCGGGAGGCTGAGGCAGGAGAATGGCGTGAACCCAGGAGGCGGAGCTTGCACTGAGCCTAGATCACGCCACTGCACTCCAGCCTGGGCAACAGAGCGAGAGTACATCTCAGAAAAACAAAAAACAAAACAAAACAAAAAAATCTCTGGATTCCAGCTCCTTCAACATTTGATTAAGATTTTCACGTCTCAATGTAGAGGACGTCGGCCTGTCATCTGCCTTTTACGGAACGTCCCACACTGTAGTTGGTACCGAGATCTCCTGACATGACGAAGGAAATGCTGCTGCGTTTCTTCTGGGTCTATTCTATGGAAGTGTGTATAAAATTGGCCTTGGAAACAGAATATTTTTCTAAACAGAGGAAAATATTTAAGGCCAAAAGCTTGATAGAATCAAAAATGCAAACTGAGTCATAAAACTCTAAAACCAATTTGTAAACCTGTAGACAAACTGGAGTTGGGGAAAAAATAAATAAATCAGGAAGACATTTTACGTGCAAGTGGCCCATGTGAAGAAGCTGCAGTGAGAAGACGGACGTGAGCCTACCTTCACCACAGCAGCAGAGGCTGCCTCCCATTCTGGTGAGTGGTCCAGCCGGCAGTTCAAACCCAGCGGCAGTTGGGGTGGAGACAGGATACGCATCATCACATGACCTCAGCGACAGGTCATCAGAGAATGTTCAAATGAACACAGGAACACGTGCCACACTCTGGGGTCCAACTGCTGCTCTCCAGACCAGCGCACTTTCACAGGACAAGGGGCCACTCAGAGTCCATGCTTCATTTCAAAATCTGAATCCCACACCCACAGTACTATTCCCTGTGTATGAGATAAACGTTAAATGAGGAAAAAAGACCCACCTTCCAAATATATTCTATAGTGAAAATTTCAGGGTGAAGAGGGTCAAAACACATTCAGAATAGAATGAGGTTCCTTCCTGGATTTGAAAGACTATCCCCACCCATTTTACTATTCCTGAGTCATCAGCTATTTCTGTATTCGGCAGTTTTAAATTTGTTCCAGATGAAAGCGTAAAATGCCTTTGTATAAAGTCAATTTTTTGTCTGGAACTGAGACTGCACTGCCGTGACGGTGACTGTTGTCCTCATTGGGCACCAGGGAGGTAGCTGTCCTTGGCATTTATTGAGTGCCCAGTGTATGCACTAGGCTGTTCATGCATCTGCAGAGCCCAGGGTTTTCTTGATGGTTTGGCAGAGAGATGCTTAAACTCAGGGCACTGGGAACAGGACAGGCTGTCGGGTTTTTCAGATGGAAGCACTGGCTTGTAGATGAGTGCAGCTGGGCAGTGGAGCCGTGAGCTGAGGCCGCTGCTCCCAGAGTGAGGCTCCTGTGGACCATCCCGTCACTCCAGCCTGCCCCAGGCCTCTCCACATCTGCTCAGTGCTGGGCATCAGGCCATGGCGGGTGGGCGACCTGATGCCTCGTTCTGCCCCTTCCTTTCACGTTTAGACACAGCCGGTGTCCAGCAGCATGTTCCAATCGAGGTCACCAGACGGACAGAACAGATTCTGTGACAGTAAAGTACCAACGTGCAAGCAGCACCTACCGCCATGCCAGGCAGGGGCTGAGTCACATGCCCCTAAACAAGGAATAAACCGTTTGGACTGCCACGGAGTTTCTTTCTCTCTAGCAGCTAAATGAGCACTATGAACAGTTGTAGCAGCACCACCAGACACCGAGTAACTGGCCCCCAAGCCCTGTTCCAGCAGCCGTAACTGCAGCTCCAACTGGACAGGAAACCGGTTTCAGTAACTCACTCCTGGGAAGAGACCACCCGCCACGGGCTGGCTCTGGCCGGTTTACAGAGGCTGTGCACTTGGCCGGTTTACAGAGGCTGTGCACTTGTGTGCTTTTGTGTCCTGAAGACCTTTTGAGGTATAGGGCCTAATTATAATACATTTAAATATTAGGTCTCCACCCCATAGTGAACATGGGTGATATGTTGCATGTATGTATGTTTGGTATACATGCATCAGGACCATCCTCATGAATATTCACAGCTCCTCCTGTAACCTGTGGAAGGTTTCTATTCAGCCAGCCTGTCCAGCGTAAAGCTCCTGCCCCAACTCCCCTCCTTCTGTGTGCCAGGCTCTGGCCTTGGCAGGAGGCACGCGTCCCAGCCTGCAGGATGGCCACGTTGCGCACTATAAACTTTCATAAGAAATCAAGTCTCTGGTTGTGCCAGAAGCTCTTTAGTTTAATGCAGTCTCATACCAGGCCTCAGCGACACGATGTACCCATGTAACAAACCTGCACGTGAAGCCCCTGAACCTAAAATGAAGCGAAGAAAAAAAGTCTCCTTTTGTTTTCTGAATGTATGAATCTTGTGATTTTTTTAAGTTAACGGAGTGAATGAAATGCTTCCTTTGTAGAGCAGCATTTCAGGTCTACGTTAGCTTTCATCACCCTGTCACTCCGCAACCCTCCAGTTAATTTCCCTGACTGTGTGTACTTGTCAGTCAACTCACAGTTGCTGAAGCAGCAGGAAAACGCACACTTGTCTTCCCCTTGGTCTGGGTCATACAGCGGCAGGTCTTTTATCCCATGTTTGACGGGTATCTCTGTGCTGGAGATTTTCAAACAGGAATTTGCATGTGGCTTTTTAAACATGTTTGCAATTTCTCTGCTATTCTCCTCCTGAGAGGTGGGCGTCTATGCCTCTTCTCATGGGGCCGGGCACTAGCAACAAGCTATCTTTTCTGTGTCTTTGCCCCACACCTGCCAGGGGCCACTCTGGCCAGACCTTGGCTGACACCGGACAGGCTGACTGCCTGGCTCGGCTCTGTGGCCCCCTTAGGGCCCATCTGTCCTACCTCCCTCCCATCAGCTGGAGGAGTTGAGGCCATGAGGCCCAAGCAGCCAGTGTACAGTGTGAAGGTGGCACACAAAGTCACGAGGCCCTAGACCGAGTCTGGGCTTCCCATCTGCACAGGTGATGTGACACCGTACCTTGTTTTAACCTGAGTGACTCTCTCCTAGCAGAGAGAGCCGGACAAACTCCATTTTACTTTCTTCACTTGCAGCCCCTTTTATCCCCCTTAAGGGAAGAACGAGTGCAAGCTGACTCCACGCACATCCAGGAATGCACCTGCTGATAAGATATTGGGTCAGGCTGTACCAGCAGCTCCTGGGAATGTGCTCGGCGGAAGGTACCTAAAAGCCCCTGCATTTATCTCTTAGTGATAGTTTAAGCCCCTGAACCTGGAACTGTTTATTTTTTTTTTTGTAACTGCTTCTATAACCAATTAATTTTTTTAACATTTTGCCTATTCTGCTTCTGTAAAACTGCTTCAGTGGAGCCCCCCTCCCCTATTTAGAGCATAGTATAAAAGAGAATCTAGCCCCTTCTTCGGGGCCGAGAGAACGTTGAGCGCTAGCGGCCTCTCGGTCACCGGCTAATAAAGGACTCCATAATTTGTCTCAAAGTGTGGCGTTTCTCTGTAACTCACTTGGTTACAACAGTGACAGCATGCACCTGTGTGCTGCGTGGGGCTGGTGACCAAACAGGAGACTGCCCTGTCAGAGCCACACCTGGCTTCTGTGTCCTGGCTCAGCCATAGACTTCTAGCTCTCCCCAGGGAACCCACAGCCTTGTTAGGGCTGGAGGGAGAGAGCCCGAGACCCCAGCGCCCCTTTGCTACAGAGGACCATGTAACGACACATTCGGAGCGGTGAGTTGATTCATGCCTGTGCCCACCCAAGCTCCTGGGGCCTTGCTCACATGAGAGGGCCCCAGCCCGAGGGCACCGCTGGCCAGAGGCTGGTTAGTATGCGACGAGGCCTCTGGCCTGCCCATGCCTCGCCGGGTGCCTCTTGCGGAGCCTTGGAGAAGGCCAGCTCTGGCTCCTGTGCAACATGGAGAACAGGGATCTTGAGCCAGCCTGTTCTGCCTGTGTGTCCAGCAGACACGGCCTCAACGCTTTTTAGACAGTTTCATCATCTGCTTTGTAACGTGGACTTCGTCAGCTTCTTACAAAGGCACTTTTAAAAGTAGGCCTCAGCGGACCTTTGCAGTAATTATAGTCCATTGTGTACGTGAAAACAAGCTTTCGGCAAACATGGATTACTGATCAGAGCAGCAGCAGTGAGACGCCAGTGTGCCATGTTGTCCCACACACACTTCCCTCACAGCCCTGCCATGCTCGCTCATGACTTGCTGACAAACTGCCTTGTCGCTAGGAAGCCCTTAATTTTCCTCTGTACTTCCCCAAGAGAAAGAAGGCCTCCCTATTAGTTAACAGCTGGAGGGGAATGAAAAAAATAAGCTTTTTCTTACTGCAAAACGTTTTTTTCAAAAATTTTATTTTAAAAACAGGGGTACATGTACAGGTTTATTATAAGTAGTTAAACCAGACAGTTTATCATATAGGTAAATTCGTGTCATGGGGCTTGTTATACAGATTATTTCCTCACCCAGGTACTGAGCCTAGCACCCAATAGTTATTTCTGCTTCTCCTCTCCCTCCTCCCACCCTCCACCCTAAAGTAGGCCCCAGTGTCTGTTGTTCCTTTCTTTGTGTCCATGCGTTCTCGTCATTTAGCTCCCACTTATATGTGAGAATGTGCAGTATTTGGTTTTCCGTTCCTGAGTTAGTTCACTTAGGATAGTGGTCTCCAGGTCTGTCTATGTTTCTGCAAAAGACGTCATCTCCTTCTTTTTTATGGCTGCATAGTATTCCATGGAGCATATGAACTACATTTTCTTGATTCAGTCAGCTATTATGGGCATTTAGGTTGAATCCCCGCTCCTGCAGAAGCCAGCCTTCTGTGTATCACCGCATGGCCCTGTGACACAGGAAAATGCGTGTCTCTGGAAGAGAGGATGACTGTTTTTCATCCTGCATGGTGAGGAGTTTCCAAAGTTCACGAGCGTTTATTCAGCACTTGCTGTGAGCTGTGCCGATGCTGCCACAGGACAGGTGGTGGGGACACAGCCTGCAGGAACAGAAAACGCCCTGCCCTCAAGAGCCTGCATTTTCCCTGGGGGAGACAGCCAATGAACCAAGTCCTGGAACCACCTGCATGGGGAGTGAGCAAGGAGGAAATGCAGTGAGGGGCGGGCAGGAGGGAGAGCTTCACGCCCACCGCCAGGTCCACACTCTCGTGCTGCCCTCCCTTGGAGGGTCTAATTAGGGCCATGTAAACTTCCTGGGTAGTTGAGATCTGCTTTGGATTCTGGCTTAACAAGACCTTTTCCCGTTTCTCAAGGGGCCCTGGATTATTCAACTGGGAAGGGAAGCTGTAGGGATCATCTGGCCCAGGTAATTCAAAGTATACCCGTGGAGTCTCTTCTGGGGCCATGAAGCGGAGCTGGGGGAAGCCCAGGGCTCTGGGGATCCTACCTTAACTCGCCTGTTAACTTGTGAAAGATGCCCTCTGACCAAAGGCCATAAGATGAGAACCTGGAAAAGCCTCAAGAGAGTCTACATTACCTGGAAGGACTCTGAGGCCTAGAGAGAAGGAACTTGCAAACTGAAGCCTGCGGACTCCCGCTCCAGGCCTCAGCCTGCTGCCGTGAGCTTTCTCTTTCGGCTTTTGTATCTCCAATGTCAAGTGGCCCAGGGAAAACAGGCACCTGCTCTGTGGATGCTCTGCCTGGTGACGTTGCCAGAGTGGGGCGCATCTGTTTCCTGGGGGTGGAATACAATGAATTCTCCCAGGTCTTACACCTGCTGCTATAAGATGCTTCTGGTCAATGGGTATTTGGAATACTGCCACGTTAGTTAGGGGGCAGGCATCTGGGATCTTTGATTCTGTGCCACAAAAGAGTTCCCTTTACTGGGTCAGAACCCTCCTTACCCTCTGAGCTCACCTGGCCCTGCCACCTGGTATTCCATGACCTTCTGTCAAAGGCAACAGAAAGACCACAAGACACCACAGACAATCCATTAGTGTGATCAAATATTTTGGAGATCTCTTGGCATCTGCT